GCCAGGTCAAGGTCAGATCAAGGTCAGATCAAGGTCAGATCAAGGCCAGATCAAGGCCAGATCAAGGCCAGGCCAAGGCCAGATCAAGGCAAAGCCAGTTCAAGGCAATGCCAGGTCAAGGTAAGGTCAGGTAAGGGCAAGGCCAGGTAAAGGCAAGGCCAGGTAAAGGCAAGGTCAGGTCAAGGCCAGGTTTAGCTCTAGGTTCGGGTTCAGTTCAAGCCAGGCATAAGTCCAGTTCAAGTCAGTCCAGGTTCGGGTCCAGTTCAAGTCAGTCCAGCCCAGTTCAAGTCAGTCTAGGTTCGGGTCCAGTTCAGGTCTGGTCTAGCCCAGACCAAGGTCTAGATCAAGGTTCAGTCTGGAAAGTAAGTTTCTTCAGAAAACGATCAGCACAAGTTATATCATTAATCTTAGAATATAAAACGGCAATATAATCTCGAGAATCTTAGAATATAATCTCTTTTCATAAAACATCAATAAGATATTAATAGCTAGGTCAAAGTTCGACAGGAAACCAGGTCCAAAGAGCTTCTAGAGTTCGGAGAAAAATCGAAGTCCATGATCGGAGTCTTCGAGAAAAGTTTGGGGAAAAGGGAAAAAGGGAAAAAGAGAAATGAAAAGCAGTACAACAACTGACACTCTTTCCTTTTGCTATGCCTTTTCTTTTTCCTCGATTTCACTCAAAGGACCCATCTCAAGTGGGTAAAGGAATGGATCCATGAGAAAAAAGCTTTTCCAATGCCAGCTAAACAGGCAAGAGAAGTCCCACGGTGGATCCACGTGAATGGGGAAAGGGATGAGACACTCCTTTCCTTGTTCCATTTGTGTTGAAGGGGAAAACATAAAGGTGTGGGCTTCTCTAGAGAAAACTGGAGCTTCTCTAGAGAAAGCTTTTGAAGGAAAAAGGTAATGAGGAAGTGCGGAATTGGATCAGTGCAGAAAAACAGATAAAACTTTTGCAAAAGCTAGAATAGCTAGAATAGAAAAAGCTAAAATAGCTCCAATTTTCTCCTCAGAGAAAATAATTGCTTTAATTTAAAGATTAATAGCAAATAGAAGTAGCAGAGCTTAAAGATCTTAAAGATCTGGTGAATGATCTGACTTCTAAAGGCTAGATTTGAAGCTAGCTAGCTGAGCAAGCAAAATAGCTAGCTAGCTGAGCTTCAAGCAAAGTAGCTAGCTGAGCTTCAAGCAAAGTAGCTAGCTAGCTGAGCTTCAAGCAAAATAGCTAGCTAGCTGAGCTAGCTATGCAACATTGAGCTTAGTTTGAGGTTCTCACGCGTTTCCATCTTCATTTCTTCATTTCAGCTATCCCAGATGGCTCCATCGATCTTGAATCGACTTCAAAAAGAGGGAAATGACCCGATCGCTTAGAGAGCATCTCTACGAGAGCATCTCATTGTAAAAAAAAATATCCCTATTGTAAAATGATTAATTTGATTAATTTGAGAATTGATAAGCCTCTCTGGAAACTCGAAAAATCAGAAAACAAAGCAGAAAAGGAGATGAAAGTTTAGCCGGCATTGGAAAAGATTTTCTCATGGAAAATCTGTCAACAAACAGTCATACAATCAAAGAACAATAACGCCTTTATACAAAAATAAACTTAAAAAAAGATAAACCTTATAGAAATTCTTATAGAAATTTTGGCTCTTTCGTCATTCCCGGGTATTTTGAAAGAATTCAGGATTTTGAACGGATCACCCTTTGAAGGATCACCCTTTGAAGGCTTATAACTTTGTCTAGAGATAGTATTTTTGTTAACTTTTTATATCGTTGTCCAGAGGACATTTCAGGCTTCCAAATGATACCAAATAGCATTTTTGAATCCGGTAAGCAAACAAGATCTACAAGCAAAAGTTGTGTGTAATGCCCAATCCTGAAGTATCAGGGAGGACACTGGGTTGATTTTCAGAGTTGGATGTCAGATTTTCAGAGTTTCAAAGGTAATTCAAAGCCGACTAGGCAAGTGTCTATTCAGTGACAAGTCTGGACAATGCTAGGACAAGATTGGGACAAAAATATGGCAAGGTTAGGAAAGGACAGACAAGGACAGAGCAGGACAGAAGCCAGGATTTGACCTTCTTTCTTTGACCTGCCTGGCCTGACCTGATTCTGGGACAATTCTGGATTCTATTCTAGATACTAGCAAAGCTCTGGAACAGTTCTGAATACTATTTTGAATACTAGCATAGGTCTGGAACAATTCTGGATACTATTCTGGATACTAACATACCTCTGAAACAATTCTGGATACTATTTTGGATACTAGCATAGCGCTGGATACTATTCTGAATACTAGCATAGCTCTGAAACAATTCTGAATACTATTCTAGATACTAGCATAGCTCTGGAACAACTCTGGATACTATTCTGGATACTAATATAGCTCTGGAACAATTCTGGGTACGATTCTAGATACTAGCATAGCTCTGGAACAACTCTGGATACTATTCTGGATACTAATACAGCTCTGGAATAGTTTTGAATACTATTTTGAATACTAGCATAGCTCTGGAACAATTCTGGATACTAACAAATTTTGTTTCCGGTTTGGACATGATACTAGAGGATGGCCGCAAATTATCGCTCGCAGTTTTTAGGCTTTTTCTTGGCTGTAGGTTCGCGAACTCGTTTAACTCCTTTTTAATATGAAAATTGCGATAGTATTCTACTTTATTTGACTCTTTGACAATAATTTGCGGTCATCCTTGATGTAGATCAGATCGATATAGTATTGTTCTAGTTGAAATAGAGTAAAACAGAGTAAAAGAGTAAAACGACGAACGGCAATCGACGTAAAACACCAAAATAATCGACAAAGTAAACAGAATTTCTTCTATAAATCGATGAGAAGTAAAGGTACCACGCAAAAGACTTATGCCGAGTTTTTTGATTTGCCGATTTTTGCAAAAATTTGATTTCCCAGAAAAGATCAGCGATTTTTCTGAGCGCTTTCTCAGACGCAGATTACAAGGAGTAAACATAAAAAAGAAATAAAAAGGAAGGAAAATGGGAAAAGAAGTGGGGTGAAGAGCTATGAAAAAAAGGAAAAGAAATGATATGGAGCCATCGTTTCGAAAAAAAAGAAGAGAGTGACTGAAGAATTGAGGGTGGAATTGAATGGAGTGGAAGGGGTGGGGCGGAAGTTGAACGAGGGGCAGGCTGGGGTGGGTTCAGTTTAGGTTAAGTTTTGGTTGAGTTTAGGTTAAGTTCAACTAAAACTTAATTCTGATCCAGAATCAAAAAAAAAATGCTTTGTTTTAGCTTGGAAAGCTTGGCCAATAGCTTGGAAAGCTTGAGCAAGCAAGCGATAAGTTGAATTAGGGATGGAGAAGATGTGCAAAGAGCTAGAGTTATGAAAGTGATCCAGTATCCAGGACTGTTCCAGAGCTATATTAGTATCCAGAATAGTATCCAGAATAGTTCCAGAGCTATGCTAGTATCTCGAATAGTATTCAAAATTGTTCCAGGACTATGCTAGTATCCAAAATAGTATCCAGAATTATTTCAGACGTATGTTAGTATCCAGAATAGTATCCAGAATTGTTCCAGGACTATGCTAGTATCCAAAATAGTATACAAAACTGTTCCAGAGCTATGCTAGTACCCAGAATGGTTCCAGAGCTATGCTAGTATCTAGAATAGTATCCAGAATTGTTCCAGAGCTGTATTAGTATCTAGAATAGTATTCAGAATTCAGAAAATTCTAAAATAAAAGATTTTTCAAAAATTCAAAAATTCAAAAAGGCCATTTTGTAGATTAAGGATAGGGCTTTTGAATCAAGCAAACCGTTTTTGGATAAGCTTGGATAAGCTTGGATAAGCTTGGATAAGTCGTTTGATTGGATAAGCCGCTTTTTCAATAAAACACATTACCCAAAAACGATCGTTTATAACTTGCCAACCTAATCGTTTCCAGGTATTTTGAAAGAATCCGGGTATTTTGAACGGATCGTCACCCTTTGAAGGCTTATAACTTTGTCTAGAGATAGTATTTTTGTTAACTTTTTATATCATTGTACAGATGACATTTCAGGCTTCTAAATGATGCCAAATAGAGCTTTTCAGATCCAGTTCCAGATTTTCCATTCCCATGTCAACAAGGCGACCCGAGTTGGATAGGCGTCATTTGCTTAGAGTTGGCTCTGATTTTTTTGGACTGGCTTATCCAATTAAGCTCTATTTGGTATCATTTGGAAGCCTGAAATGTCCTCTGGACAACGATATAAAAAGTCAACAAAAATATTATCTCTAGACAAAGTTATACGCCTTCAAAGGGTGACGATCCGTTCAATATCCTGAATTCTTTCAAAATACCCGGGAATGACGAAAGAGCCAAAATTTCTATAAGAATATAACGGTTTATCTTTTTTTAAGTTTATTTTATTATCTCTAGACAAAGTTATCGCTAAAAGCTAAGAGCTAAAAGCTAAGAGCTAAGAGCTAAAAGCTAAGAGCTAAAAGCTAACAGCGAAAAGCTGAGCTAAGAGCTAACAGCAAAAAGCTAAGAGCTAAAAGCGAAAAGCTAAGAGCTAACAGCTAGCAGCTAAAAGCTAAAAGCTAAGAGCTAAGAGCTAAAAGCTAAGAGCTAACAGCTTTTACACAAATCAACAGCACAAATCAATTGTTTGTTACAAATCAAGCTGTCAAGCTAATTCCAAACAATAAGCATCGAATCACATCAAAAAGAACAAGTTTATTGTTAAACGTTAAACAATTTGAACCTAATTTCAAATTCATTCCAATAAACATTTAAAACAGCATCGACAAATCTTTTTCTCAATTCTGACAATTCTGAGAGCTCTACAAAAACGAAAAAATTTACGAGTCAACATTTTATGGCAGAGAAGAAATGATAAATAACTGCTCTCCGATGAGTGACAGCTTTTCTTCAATTTTCAAATTTCAAGAAATGAACTATGGAATCGTGATTTCTTTTTTCAATCGTTGCAATGTAATTTCAATCAAAATTTCATTTCCACTCATCAAATATAATCTCAATTACAACAGTCGCCAGTTCTTTCTTGATCCTTCGTCGACACGAGAGGGCCGATGAGAAAATAGGCGAAAACGTGGCCCATAATTACTGAAACTTCTCAAGTATACTGTTCAAAATGAATTGAATGATAAAAACAAATCCAAAACCCAACACACAATCCGTAATACCCCCAAAAGTGTTGCAGAGATTGTCTATGCTAAAAGAAAAAAATTTTCTAGCGTTTGGGGTCGAACCGAAAGGATACAAGACTCCTAACCAGGATAACAAGACTCCCAACTAGGATAACAAGACTCCCAACTAGGATACAGGACTCCCAACTAGGATAACAAGACTCCCAACTAGGATACAAGACTCCCAACTAGGTTACAAGACCCTCAACTAGGATACAGGACTCCCAACTAGGATACAAGACTCCCAACTAGGATACAGGACTCCCAACTAGGATACAGGACTCCCAACTAGGATACAAGACTTCTAACTAGGATACAAGACTCCCAACTAGGTTACAAGACCCTCAACTAGGATACAGGACTCCCAACTAGGATACAAGACTTCTAACTAGGATACAAGACTCCCAACTAGGTTACAAGACCCTCAACTAGGATACAGGACTCCCAACTAGGATACAAGACTCCCAACTAGGTTACAAGACCCTCAACTAGGATACAGGACTCCCAACTAGGATACAAGACTCCTAACCAGGATACAAGACTCCTAACCAATCGGCCATGGTGGCACTAAGATCTGTAAGCCAGCCAGAGCTTCAATCTCGTTTTCTTCAATTCCTCAGGCCGACTTCACCAATCAAATTTTATTTTGTTTCATTTAAAAGCCAACTCAAAGACTTTTGCGGCCTTAAGGCTTAACATAAATAGCCGAATTTTTACACTAAAATTTTTACACTTTCAACATTTGGTTTTACAAATGTTGAATGCACTAAATGAAGTACAGTTTGCATCATTGGAAAGATCTGGATTCTCTTTGCAAAATTGTTGTTGCCAATTAACTAGGTTGAACCGAATGAAACTGCCGCAAAAGCTTTTGTCTTGAAATTTTGATTTTGACTATTAGCCGGTGCTGCTATTAGCCGGTGCTGCTATTAGCCGGTGCTGCTATTAGCCGGTGCTACTACTAGCCGGTGCTACTACTAGCCGGCGCTACTACTAGCCAGCGCTGCTATTAGCCGGCGCTGCTATTAGCCGGCGCTGCTATTAGCCGGCGCTGCTACTAGCCGGTGCTGCTACTAGCCGGTGCTGCTACTAGCCAGCGCTACTATTAGAGGTGTTAGAGGTCTTAGAGGTACTATTAGAGGTGTTAGAGGTGTCAGAAATGGTGTTAGAAAGATTTGAGCACAAAGTACAATAGTCCAAAAGCTTAAAAACAAATAGCTTTTTGATGAAATGATGCTGAAACCTGTGCTTCATTTTCCTATTTTACTTTACCTGCGCAAACTAGTGGCACATTATACGTCATCGTGACCAACATAAGACAATAGCCGAGAAACGTTTGAAAGATTAACGTCACCGAGTTGAGCACATGTCGACCGTCCATAAAGATTTTCAAGCTAAACCCTGAGTGAAGCAAAAATTTGAGTAAGTAAGAGAATGAGCCTCGAGAATGAGCCTCGAGAATGAGCCTCGAGAATGAGCCTCGAGAATGAGCCTCGAGAATGAGCCTCGAGAATGAGCCTCGAGAATGAGCCTCGAGAATGAGCCTCGAGAATGAGCCTCGAGAATGAGCCTCGAGAATGAGCCTCGATAATGAAAGATTACTAGTTAACGTGATTCCCAATGAATGGAGTGTTCGATCGTTGTGATCCTCTTGATGACGCTCCATCACAAGGACATCCCAAAAGTGACGTTGTACAAGAACACTGAAAACCTTTAGGTTATTGAATTTGAAATTGTTTTGAACTCATTGTTTTGGTCATTTTGGATATTTTGGATATGGTACTTATTGGTTATCTTCCCAAAAAAAGAATCTGCACGAAATCAACTCTAGACACTGTAGTTTTAAAATCAATCAGCACTTGCTTTTAGTTTGAAATCATATTGCTCGTTTCTGTTGGGCATTATTGTTTTGAGAAGGAATCGAAAATGATTGAATGATTGAATTTGGTTTATTTGGTTGGATTGGATTTCGTTTTTAGTTAAACGGCTTTTAGTTAAATGTCATTTGTCATTCGAGTCTCATTCAAGCGCTTGTTAATAGAGTTGTATAAGTCCAATCGAGAAGTTTTTGGTATAGAAATATAGCCAAGATTCAGGGCTACAATCCTCTATATAACACCTGCCACTTTTGAAATAAATGAAACATTTTCCAGTTTCACAAAAATGGACGAGTCAGAGTCCGAAGAGAGATTGACTAATGTTCATTCAAGCGCTTGTGAAATGAGTTGTATAAGTCCAATCGGGAAGTTTTTGGTATAGAAATATAGCCAAGATTCAGGGCTACAATCCTCTATATAACACTTGCTACTTTTGAAATATAGACAATATAAATTCGACATTTCCCAGCTACTTTTCTAAAGGTCCTTTTTCGGCTACACCTTTTAGTGCTCCTCAAAAAACATCATCAGATCAGCATCAGATGAAACTTTAGCACAAAAAGGAGGATTGGGGAAAGGAGCAAAAAGGCAATTGAGCAAAATGGCAATTGGACAAAGGGGCAAAATGGCAATTGGGCAAAATGGCAAAATGACAATTTGTTATAAGGAAAAACTATGAATTAACTTTTTAACCATTAACCTTAATTAACCAAAATCAGAAACGTGAATCATAGCCACCAACTCGATAGTTTTAAACTTCAAAAAGCTTAAAAAGATTTCAAAATAAAAAACTCACATCTTCATCAACTTCTTTCCCAAGCGTCAATCGACCAAACTTAGCGAACTCAAAGAAAGCGGCCATTGCAAGAACAGCGAAACAAGTGAAGATATAGCCTTAAATAGTGCAACTTTACTTTGAGCTTAAAGCTCTAAACACAATCTTTCTGGTAAACACAAAAAATTCTTTTGTTTTCTTATGAAAACAAGTTGAAGTTGAAGTTGAGTCTTCCGTTACGAGTAAGAGTTTAGGAACTTTTCTATTTTTGCTCTATATCTTGACTTCTAATGAACAGATTGACCTAAGGTTAATTTTAAAATGATCCTCATTAAATTTGGTTATAGAAAAGTAGAATTTGTTTTATATACTCGTGTGTAAGAACATAGAGAAAATTTGTGTCAAAGGCACTTTAGCGCACTTTTCTATTTTACTCTATATCTCGACTCTCAGTGATCAGATCGACTTAAGGTTAGTTTTAAAATGATCCTCATTAAATTTGGTTATAGAAAATTATAGTTTATTTTGTATATTCATGCGCGAGAAGATAGAGAAAATTTGTATCAAAGTTGAACTACCTACCTGGAGAAGCCGATCAACTTAGATGGTTTATAACTCGAGGTATAGAAGCTGAATCAACTTATGGTTAATTTTAATAGAATCCCCATTAAATTTGACTAAAGAAACGTGGAATTTGTTTTGTATACTCATGCATAAGAACATAGAGAACGTAGCTGAAAGTGTGGAGTTGAGTGTGCCAGAGGGGATTTCTTGCTCACAAATTATTGGGTTGGGGAGAATGAGTCGGCGCCGAAAATGAAAAAAATGTCTAAAACTTGAATTCGACTTCGTCAAATAATATGCGTTTGATATGAGTAGAATGGTTAACTAATTCTCTACAAAATGACATTTAAAAGAAAATTCAAACAGCGCCTCCGCTCAAGAAAGAGCCATTTTTTCACAAAAACTACAAACTGTGATCTAGAAAAAACCATTGGTGGGATCTTCCTGCAAATTTGGCAACTTAAGTAATTGAATGTGCTCTATCTTTTTTATATAAACACCAAAGAAGGTTTATGTGAAAGAAACTGTTCAAATGATGAGTCGGACTCTTTGCCATTTTAACCAGCTGCGTTTGGAAGTTCATAAACTCCACGAAAGAAAAGCTTTGTGGAATCTCTCAAAAGTGATTTTGTAGAGAAATAGTGGATCCTTTTGATGAAACCAAACGTATGTTTAAAGAAGGCTTTATGTGTGCAAAAAGTCCCTTTAAAGTTCGGCGCCGACTCATTCTCCCCAACCCAATAGATTGTTTGCGAGAGTTAAACAAGAGGTTTAGTGCTTAAGTTTCTTTGACGAAAATTCATTCTACTTGTCATTGAGATTCAAAATTTTAGCAATTCTCTTACCTGTCACTGATTTCGTGGCCCAATCCTGAAACAGAATCACTTCCTCGACGCGAAAATGGAAATACATCTTCATCATCATCATTTTTGGGTTTTTTTAAAGCTAAATCTAGGTAAGTTTAACTCAAAATAGCTTAAAATAGCTCAAAATAGCTCAAAATCAAGCTAAATTTCATTAAAAACAAATCAAAATCACTCAAAAAAATGAAAAGATCATTCTTCTTAACGGAAAAAACTCTCAAATTCGTTGATAGATTTATTTGACCCGTGAAATGGTACTATAAAAACTAAATAATTCCTTATTATAAACAATGCATTAATCATTTCTTTTTTTTATCCACAGCACTCCTCCTCGGCGGCTTCCCTTTGGCCATGCGGTGACTGGGGAATGGGACGACTCCCGAACAAGTAGTAACCGATTCCAGAGCCTGTAAATGCTTAGAGATTTGCATTTTATTAGCTATTGAATACAATGGAGACTCAAAACTGTTTAAAAAAGCCAAAAACTGTAACCAAGCCATAGAAAGCCATAGATAAGCCATAGAAAGCCATAGAAAGCCATAGAAAGCTAAAGTAAGCCAAAGAAAGCCAAAGATAAGCTAAAGATAAGCTAAAGATAAGCCAAAGAAAGCCATAGAAAGCTAAAGAAAGCCAAAGACCAGCCAAAGAAAGCCATAGAAAGCCAAAGAAAGCCATAGAAAGCTAAAGTAAGCCATAGAAAGCCAAAGAAAGCCATAGATAAGCCAAAGAAAGCCAAAGAAAGCCAAAGAAAGCCAAAGATAAGCCAAAGAAAGCCATAGAAAGCTAAAGAAAGCCAAAGACCAGCCAAAGAAAGCCAAACATCAGCCAAACATCAGCCAAACATCAGCCAAACCTCAGCCAAAGATTTATATCTAATTTAGCTTGCCTTGGCTGATTTGGGACATCTCTAAGAACAATTCTGGCCAGGATTGTAGAAAATTTCCCAACTTTCCTAGTTGGTTTTCGAATTTTCTTAATTTTCCTGACCCAGGCTTGGAAGTCAGTGCTTGGTCTGACTGCTGACCTTGCTTAGCTTGATTTGATCAGGCTTGATCTGATTAGGACTCATTTATTAGTCGATAAACGTTCTTGGCTCAGTTGGACAGTCTCTTTATGGGTTAAGGCTGGAATAGGCATGGTTGGCGCCGGGATTCGGACCAGCGACCTCTCGCTTACCGGGCAAACGCTCTACCAATGAGTTAAACCAATACGTAGCCCTTGTCGTCAAAGTAGGGCCTTATACTCTATTAGTAGACTTTTGACCGTGTTCTGCCTTTGGCTTGCCTAGCTTAGCCCACAATAAGTTCCCAGGAGCTAGAGCTGGCTTCTGATCTGGCTTTGGCATTGCCTTGCTTGGCTTACAGGCTTAGGCTTAGGCTTAGGCGTAGGCTCAGGCTCAGGCTCAGGCTTAGGCTTAGGCTTAGGCTTAGGCTTAGGCTCAGGCTCAGATATTGACTAGCGTTCATTCTAGCGCTTGTGAAATGAGCCTGGGTGAAGAATTTATGATTCTTACTTTACTGTATTTCAAGATCGATCATGATCAGAATTTCTAAACACTTTGCTGTTTCAATAATCATTAAAAGTTACAGGCTTATTGGCCCTAGATTCGATTATATCTCACATCAACATCAACAGTATCAAGCTTAAACATTTTAAACATAAAACGGTAAGAAGTCGATTTGAAAGTGGCAACGATTTCATTCGATTTTACTCACCAATCGCAATGGCCAATCCAATCCACACCGAGAAAGTCATAAAAGCTAACATCAACATGTAGCTTAAGACGATTTGCACAAGGAAGAGCAGCACCTAAATTGAGAAAAGAATTGAGAAAAGGATTGATGAAAGGATTGATGAAAGGATTTTTTGACTTTTGATCTGGTTTTTGACAAACTTGTATTAAATGAGATGGATGAAAGAGTCGTTGAGCATAGCTGGTCGGTCTGGAAAGGATTATTATATCAAAGGATTGTTAAGAGACAAGCCGCTCAGATCGTATTGTTCTCTCAATTGACTCTCAATTTAGCTTCCAAAGACAAATGACAGATTCGCCAAAGAGCCATTGACTAGCGCTCATTTAAGCGCTTGTGAAATGAGTTTTATAAGTCCAATCGGGAAGTTTTTGTATAGAAATATGGCCAAGATTCAGGGCTACAATGCTTCAGAGATTCGCAAGAGTGTTGCGTATCTCAGCGCCATTGCATTGCTTCGGTAGATCCGAGATCAAACGCAATGCCTTTCTTGAGAACTTCTTGAGGACTTCTTGAGGACTTTGAGTGGCAATGTGGCATTTTTTAAGTCACGAGACAGTCGGGAGTCGAACCCGGATTGTGTGGGCGTGGGCAAGCGCGTTACCAATTGCGTTTGCCGTTTTGCCCTGTTTTGCCCAAATTCTTGGATCGATTTTGGGTTAAACTTGACTGTTTTTTCGCTACAAATTCCATCCTATTAAGCGATGAAGAACTCGAAGAACCAAACTGAGAAAGTCATACAAATTCAGCGTCATTTCACTCACAGCGATCCCTCCCATTGCTTTTCAACTCTCCATCTCAACCACTTCACCACTTCAACGAGAATCGAAGCGACCAGCAAAATTGCGCACGAATAGCTCATTTCTGAAACGTTTATAAGTCGAAATCGTATTAATATTAGAATTTTAGAATTTTTGCCGTCGATTTACTCACCCCAAGCCGTTTTTACCGTCCAAAAGTCGAAAAGAATCGTGTCATCAATTTTCGTGTGAAACCACATCCACATGTGATGATTCATGGTCATTTTTTCATTCATTTTCTACTAGAAATTTCATTTTTTTTTATTCAAAAGTACATTCAGAAGCAAGTTAGATCAAGTTTTCGACAAATTCGACAAAATAATAGCAAAAAAACAAGTTAAACACTGAATTTAGTCTGGAAAGGGATTGATTTACACTTTTTGAGCTGTCTTTTGAGCTGAAAGTAAGCAAAAAGAACGTTAAAGCTTGATTAGCTTTGGGTAAACTAGCTTGATTGAACTTAAACTTGGAATTGGACTTAAGTGTTCTTTAGAAAAGGCTTTCGTAATCCATAGCTACTAGCTTGTTTAGCTTTTAGGCTAGGCTTGGGCTAGGCTAGGCTAGCCTAGGTTGGTGAATTGAAAACTGGTGAACTGCGGGGTATTTCGCCGACTTGCAGATAAAAAAACAACAGCATTGAACCAGTTTGAAAGGCGGTTTGGTTACTTAAACATTTCCTCTAATTATTGCGAGAAAATTATGCTTCCAGCTTTTTATCTTTTGGTATTTTTCTTCACTTCTTCTATTGCACTCGAGAATCTCGACATATTCGTCATGTCATTCTTCATGAGTTCCTATAAGAGCACAGTGCAGGCTTGGCATATTAAAAAGATATATGTGAAGGACTTCCGAAAGAACGTGTCGAGTATGGTTTGCCAAGTTTCGATCTGGGGACAAATGTTTGAAAAATGCAGTGGAGTGGCACCCCAACTGGATGATTCCAAAACTGGATGATTACTCGAGCTCATTACCAACGACCATCGGGTATCATCGCGTGAATTGAGAGAAGAGTTAGGGGTTGATCATGCTACAGTGCTAAGGCACCTTTATACCCTTGGATTTGAATCGAAACTTGGGTGCCCCATGACCTCAATAATCCCCCAGAAGTGGCGGCGCGCCTCGAACAGTGCCTCGAACAGTGCTCAACGCCTCGAACAAGCGAAAAGAACGCTAAAGCTTGATTAGCTTTGAGTAAATTAGCTTGATTGGACTTAAAAGAAAGTGTTCTTTAGAAAAAGCTTTCGTAATCCATAGTTACTAGCTTGTTTAGCTTTTAGAAATCGATCAATGAATCTTAATAGTTAAAATTGTGAAAGAAAAGGATAGAAAAGGTAAAAAGAAAGTAAAAACAGCTAAAAACAATTAAAAAGTTTAAAAAGAATCAAAAAGAATCTAAAAAGAATCAAAAAAAAATCAAAAAACAATTTAAAAATCTAATCTAAAAACATAAAAACGAAAATTTTTGATAATAAACTCCTCAAATTGATGTAAATTAGCCGAATTTCATTTTGTATAAACAAAATACGATCGTTTCTTTCAGAATTTTTGAGTCTTTGAGTGAGTGATAAGGGGAAAAGGGAAGCAAAATGGAAATGAGAGCATTGCAGAGATAAGACTTGTGAACATCACCCGAGCAAATCTTGCGTAGATACATGCAAGAGTTGAGCCTGATCGGGCATTGAGATCAGACTCAATGGTGTTGAAAAAAAGGTCAAAACTTACTAGTTTCACCCTGAGACTTGCAATCTTTGGAATAGTCTTGTTAGCAAGTACTCTTGTGCTCTTGTACTCTTGTTAACCTGTAGTCTTGTTAACCTGTAGCCTTGTTAACCTGTAGCCTTGTTAACCCGTACTCTTGTTAACCCGTACTCTCGTTAACCTGTACTCTTGTTAACCTGTAGTCTTGTTAACCTGTACTCTCGTTAACCTGCAGCCTTGTTAACCTGTACTCTTGTTAACCTGTAGTCTTGTTAACCTGTACTCTCGTTAACCTGCAGCCTTGTTAACCTGTACTCTCGTTAACCTGTACTCTTGCTAACCTGCAGCCTTGTTAACCTGTAGCCTTGTTAACCCGTACTCTTGTTAACCTGTACTCTCGTTAACCTGTACTCTTGTTAACCTGTAGTCTTGTTAACCTGTACTCTCGTTAACCTGCAGCCTTGTTAACCTGTACTCTTGTTAACCTGTAGTCTTGTTAACCTGTACTCTCGTTAACCTGCAGCCTTGTTAACCTGTACTCTTGTTAACCTGTAGTCTTGTTAACCTGTACTCTCGTTAACCTGCAGCCTTGTTAACCTGTACTCTCGTTAACCTGTACTCTTGCTAACAAGTACTCTTGTTAACCTGTAGCCTTGTTAACCTGTACTCTTGCTAACAAGTACTCTTGTTAACCTGTAGCCTTGTTAACCTATAGTCTTCAAAATGTTTTCCCCTTCAAATGCCCTTGATTGTTTGTTTGTTTGTTTCAAACACTGTTTGTTTACATGTTACTTTGTTTACTTTGAAAAGTAAACAAAAAAGTACTTACTTTATTGCATTCATTCACTTCATTTAAATGAAGTGAATGAATTGTAGAGTTGTAGCGAATGAATGAACCTTAAAAGTAGAGATTTTGAAATTTTCATTGAAATTCTCATTGAAATTCTCATTGAAATTCTCATTTCATACAAACTCTTTCAGCAAAAGTCCCCATTGACAATGTTGAGTACTTAGAATGAACTCAGCTTCATCTTCACAATGAACTCTCGATATCCAATATCACAAATAGACTCCATTATCCAAAGGAGAAAAAGCTTTATGAATTTTTTATCATTTCCTTCATCAAACGATCATTTACCTTTCATTTGTGTGCTCTAATTGGGCTGAGAAGACTGAAAGAGCTCGGGTTTCCATCGTACAAACATCGATATTTGGATAAGTTTTGAGAATAGATAATGCTAAAGTGCGAGCTTTTTTCTGTAAGAACATTTAGACAATGAAAAGACAATGAAAGCTTCAGACTTTATAAAACTTTAAGTTAATTTGTATGCTTCTTGAATCCAAAGTGCACTGGAATCACTTAAAAATCTTTTTTAAAAAAATCGTTTTTCTTTTGGATTGTTCTGGAAAAAAGTTGATTCTATTAAATAAAAAATTTCTGAAAAAAAGCCATTAATCCATTTGCCATTAGATTGAGATCTATTTAGCTAGCTCAGCCTGCTCAAGATAGACTTGACCTTACTTGGCCTGACTCTAGGTCTAGCTTAATCTTAGTCCGGTCTATGTCTAGCTTAATCTCAGTCTGGTCTAGGTCTAGCTTAGTCTTAGTCTGGTCTATGTCTAGCTTAATCTTAGTTCGGTCTAGCTCTAGCTTAATCTTAGTCCGATCTAGGTCTAGCTTAATCTCAGTCTGGTCTAGGTCTAGCTTAATCTCAGTCTGGTCTTGGTCTAGCTTAATCTTAGTCCGGTCTATGTCTAGCTTAATCTCAGTCTGGTCTAGGTCTAGCTTAGTCTTAGTCTGGTCTTGGTCTAGCTTAATCTTAGTCCGGTCTATGTCTAGCTTAATCTCAGTCTGGTCTAGGTCTAGCTTAGTCTTAGTCTGGTCTTGGTCTAGCTTAATCTCAGTCTGGTCTAGGTCTAGCTTAGTCTTAGTCTGGTCTTGGTCTAGCTTAATCTTAGTCCGGTCTATGTCTAGCTTAATCTCAGTCTGGTCTAGGTCTAGCTTAGTCTTAGTCTGGTCTTGGTCTAGCTTAATCTTAGTCTGGTCTAGCTCTAGCTTAATCTTAGTCCGATCTAGCTCTAGCTTAATCTTAGTCCGATCTAGGTCTAGCTTAATCTCAGTCTGGTCTAGGTCTAGCTTAATCTGATCCTCATCTAACCTGGCCTCATACAATTCTAGGTTATTTTTCTGAATCCTGTTGAATGCTTTAGATCAGCTTAGTGTTCAATAAGCCTAGTGTTCACTATTTATGGAGACTTTTGAGCTTACAGGTCGTTTAGCGCTCTTAAAATTGGTTTATGAAGAAAGTCATCAAGAAAACACTGTACGAGTTGGAAAAAACTCGAATTTCTAGCTTATTTTTACAGTTTACTAAATTTGGTAATCTAAAAGTCGATTGATCAGAACTCGATCATCAATTTTATTGAATTTCATTGAATTTTATTGAATTTTATTGAATTTTATTGAATTTTATTGAATTTCACCAAAAAGAAGTCAAACCTCAGTTTTTCTTGTTTAACGATGAGAAAGTCTAACTATTTAACAGTTTTCGAATCTATGGGTCATTGAAAATGTTAGAATTTACCTTATTCATAAGGCTATTGGCTTTATGAATAGGGTAAAGAGCTTGGAGTTGTTGGTAAAGAGCTTGGAGCTGTGGGTAAAGAGTTTGGAGCTGTTGTTAAGAGCTTGGAGCTGTTGGTAAAGAGCTTGGATATCACATTATAGTTATATTTTTATAGCTTTTTTTTGTCAGCAGTATACTTTTGTATCGAATCAGGATTATCCCTAGAATCTCTGAAGGGTGCTGCGAGTGCTGCGAGTGCTGCTGCGAGTGCTGCAAGTGCTGCTGCGAGTGCTGCAAGTGCTGCTGCGAGTGCTGCGAGTGCTACTCCTGCAAGTGTCAACAACTAGAAGCATCCATGAAACTCTGCAATAGCTTTGATCCAATCTGGTGACTTGATTGACTCAAAACTATTCACAACTTCTAAATCTTCTTTCTTCCACTTCTTTAAACCATGATTTTTCACTGGATTCCAATATTTGCAATAATTTCCAATAATTTCCAAATCCCCGAAATCCCTTTTCCTCAAAATGTCATCCATATGATGCCATTATATTTCAGGTGTGTGCAGGGGTGCTCGTTTGGCAATTACCGGCTCAAATTACACGTTTTGCCGGTGTGCGTGTTTTCCTTTCTAAGCCCCACCTTCCCATCTGTTCCCCACCCCGGATTCTCGGCCACAAATATTTCCAAATCTCTTTTCAACAACCAATTTAGTTCAACAATATATTGGGGATCCCATTACATTCTTGAAAACGATTTTGGCTAAACACAAAGGATTTCAACTAGTTCAATCAGCAAATACGACTTCGAAATATGAAATTGATACTTTTATGGAGAAAAGATTTTGTATTGTTCAGATTTAGTGGCTGGAAAAGTTTTAAAAACAAAACTCATGCTGTAGCCAAGATTTGAAAGCCAAGCTGATCTGCCAAGCTTGAAAGCCAAGCTGATCAGTCCAGATTTAGCCAAGCTGATCTGCCAAGCTGATCAGTCCAGATTTAGCCAAGCTGATCTGCCAAGTTTGAAAGCCAAGCTGATCAGTCCAACTCTGGAGTGATCTCTAACAAGACAATCTCTAACAAGGATCCAATTGGAATCTCAATTTACAATATAGCTCATCTTGTAGAGCTTGAAAAGACGAGTCGAATGATGTAAATACTAGCTGCTTATGCGCATTGTAAACACACTAAAACTGGCTTACAAGTTTCCCGATTCAAGTTTACAAATTTCACGATACAATTTTACAAATTTCCTGATTCAAGTTTACAAATTTCGCGATTCAAGTTTACAAGTCACAAGCTAAAGGCTATTACAAGTTTTCAAGTCTTAACTCGTTTTCAAAGGCATCCTTTGGTTGGTTTAGCGGTCTAGTGGTTAGTGCAATGATTTACCAAGCAAAGGTTAGAGGTTCAACTCCTTTTGGAGCTGATTAAAGACACCTCAAGCTTCAACCAGTTCCTTGAAAAGTCCTCCTCACAGAAAGTCCTCCTCCTCTCTCTCTTGCTTAAAAACGAAATTTGAAAAGAATTGAAATGCCCAGTCGCAAAATGAATGAAATTAAAGTACTCTAAATGTAGAAAACTCTTGAGATTGTGAGATTAGTGAGAGTAATCTTTAGATTTGATGGAACGCTCTTTTTTCCGGTTATTGTAGTGCAAGAGGATGCTGTCAGTATCTTCAAGAAAAGCTACCGCAATCTTGTTAAAAAGCTACCGTAATCTACACGAGAACTTCATTTTTCATAACAAGATAGCTGCAGGGCACCCTGTAGAGTCAATCATTATTTACCCAATAGCTTAGCACTCTGTTAGTCTGCTCTCTTGTCTACAGCCTGTTGAGCACTTCTCACTGTGTCCTTCAGCCCATTGCACAGTTTGAGGAAAATTTGGGGACAAACGAGAACTTGATTACGCAAACAAATTCTAAGAATACAAGCATTTTACGTCAAAATCGGGCATCCACGAAACCGTGCACCCACGAGCCATAAGGATTCGACAGAGGTGGGTAGACATGAGCTCGTGGCCTAGTGGATAGTGGCCTAGTGGATAGTGGCCTAGTGGATAGTGGCCTAGTGGATAGTGGCCTAGTGGATAGTGGCCTAGTGGATAGTGGCCTAGTGGATAGTGGCCTAGTGGATAGTGGCCTAGATCTCTCGCTCTTTTGTCCCTGGTTTAGATCCGGGTCAAATGGCTCAAACCCGAGGTCTAAATTCAAGCATCCCTAGTAAGGCTTTGTGTCTGGCTTTAGCGTTTGTGAAGGCTTTGGCTTTGGCTTTAGCGTTTTTAAAGGCTTTATCGACTAAAAACTTACATTGTCTGGCCTACCTGGCTACCAGGCCTACCTGGCTACCAGGCCTACCTGGCTACCAGGCCTACCTAGCTACCTGGCCTACCTAGCTACCTGGCCTACCTAGCTACCTGGCCTACCTAGCTACCTGGCCTACCTAGCTACCTGGCCTACCTAGCTACCTGGCCTACCTAGCTACCTGGCCTACCTAGCTACCTGGCCTACCTAGCTACCTGGCCTACCTAGCTACCTGGCCTACCTAGCTACCTGGCCTACCAGCCAGGCCTACCAGCCAGGCCTACCAGCCAGGCCTACCGAAGCCTGGCTTTAACCTCATTGGCTTTTGATTTCTGATTGTAGATTGATTTTCTTTCAAAAGTTCAAATAAATATTTTGAAGACCCTGTATGTGGATGAGTGGATGATTTCCTTTGTTCGTCTCATTCACACAAAGCCCTCTCGATGAGCTCGAGAGACTCAATGACATTCGATATCTTTTCCAAATCCAATCCACACACACTCATCCCACATCGGTTAGGCCAATAAACGGGGAATTTTGTTGGGCAAACTTCAGGCAGGGATTCCATAGTAGATAATCTAAGCCTTTAGTCGATAAAGCCTTTACAAACGCTAAAGCCAAAGCAGGCACTTTTTTGAAATCTAGTAGAGAGGGCTCTTATTCCCCTTTTTCCAAGAATAAAGATCCAGATCCAAGAATCCATTTAAAGCAAAGTGCATTTTGTTACACGCCCGTCAATTACTGTATTTCGCGCACCATTTACCGCTGAGAATTGCCTGGGAAAGGGTGATGAGAAGAGTAATGGGTCACTCAATTCACACACAACTGCCTCCAATCGAATGAGCTTTGAGATTAGCGTTTGAATTTGTTTTCTAACAAACTAGTCAAGTCGATTTTTTCAGCAAGCTCGAGTTAGTACTTGTTGACTAGATTCTGTTTAGCTTGACTCATACGTTTCAAAAACTTTCAACAAACTAGTGAACCATCGAACCATCGAACTATTGAACTATTGAACTATTGAACTATTGGACTATTGAACTATTGAACTATTGAACTATTGAACTTTTGAACTTGTCAGCTTTCGAACTACCATAATCTAACTAACGAACTACTCTAGTCTAGCATCGATTTAGAATATGGGACCTATAAGGCAAGGCTCTAGGCAAGGCAAAGCTCTAGGCAAGGCAAAGCTCTAGGCAAGTCAAGACTCTAGGCAAGGCAAGGCTCTAGGCAAGGCAAGGCTCTAGGCAAGGCAAGACTCTAGGCAAGGCAAGACTCTAAGCCAGGCAAGGCTCTAAGCCATGCAAGGCTCTAGGCAAGGCAAGGCTCTAGGCAAGGCAAGGCCCTAGGCAAGAATTGGCCTAAATCGAAACCAGGCAGACTTGAAGCTCTTTTCCTGTTCTCCAAAACAAAGAACAAAGATCAAAGAACAAAGATCAAAGATCAAATCAAATCCAAGTCAACCTCATTGAACTTTCTCACACATTTTCCTTTTTCAAAAACCCCCATCTTAGCCTGTGAAAGCTTTTTGACTTAAATGTAAATTTGTTGTCTAAAAATTTGCCCAAATAAAACACGGCAATAAAGGTGAGATAAATGGCGGGTTTGTTCATTGGAAAAGAGTATTCAGTGAAAGACAAGAAAAAAAAACCACGGTATTGTGGGACAGCTACGGAAAAAAGCCGGAAAAAGATGCTCTAATTGTGGGTGTTTCTCTTGAAAACCCATAGATGAGCAGAATCGGACAATCCAATCGGCCAATTCCTTTTCGATTAGCACAATTGTGTAGTGCGTCCGTCGCGTGGCCGAGTGGTAGTGCGTCCCGGCGTCCGTCCAGCTCGGCGGGACTAACGTCGCGTCGAGTATAGATGTCGGAGGGTATCAGGGATGGTGGCGATATTGCTTTGGAGGATTAAGATTGTTACAGTATTGTTACAGGGATCTCGGAGAAGGCGCAGGAGGGGAGGAGACCCTTTAACTTGAGAGCTCAAACTATGCGTTGGCGTTAGCACCCCGGCGAGCCGAGTTGACGGCTATTTACGGCTTCCAAAGTTTTCCCAGAAGCTCAAGAGTCTAATCCCCCACTAGATCTCATCGTCAGCTACATTTTCCGACCCCACATCGATAGGTTCTGATAAGCGGTTCTCGAGATTTCGAGCAATTACTGGGTGCATGCAATTACTAGCTCAGGGATTAGAGAAAATACGGTAGCTATCAAATCAAGTTTTGCTAGTTCTAAAGCTAGTTCCAAAGCAAGATCGATTCTCGAAAGATTCCTTTTTATCTTTCGGTTTGTTTTACACTCAAAGGATTGACCTTCATCGCTTGAAATGTGTGTGTTTTTTTTTTTGGCCAATTAATCGATGTCATTCGGGAAGTTGAAAGTTTTCCCCAATGACATCGATTAATTGTTTCATCGAATCGAAAAAAAAAGGAAACAAATCGTTGTGTTTCTTTTTTTATAATCAATTTATAAGCAAAAATATACAAAACAAAATTTGAATACAAAAAAATATCACATTTTTTTCTTAAAAATCGTTTTTGGATTTTTCACAATTTTGAGGATCATTTTAATACTGATTGAAAAGTTAAAATATAAAAATTAAAATATAAAATAAAAAAGAGAAATGAAAGCTAGAGAAATTGGATATAAATGACTAGCTGAAAAATAATGTAAAAGATTTTTTGGGCTTAAAAAAGAGAATTCATTTGAGCAAGTATCTCAAGGTCAAGGAAAAATTTGATTATTTTGCTAGAAATGTTTTGAAATTGTTTTTGATTTGATTTTCTTTTATTTGATTTTCTTTTATTTTCTTTTTGTTAATCTTTTCTTTTCTTCTATCTTTTCATTGATTCGCCTGCGATTGAAGAAACATGAGCACACTTTGATGCGCGGAAAGTTGGGGCACAGTGGGCATGGTGGGCTCTGAAAGTTCTTTCTGAAAGTTGCTCTGAAAGCTCTGAAAGATCTAGAGGAGATCTAGAGGAGATCCTCTAGATCTCCTCTAGATCCTCTAGATCTCCTCTAGATCCTCTAGATCTCCTCTAGATCCTCTAGATCTCCCCTAGATCCTCTAGATCTCCCCTAGATCCTCTAGATCTCCCCTAGATCCTCTAGACCTCCCCTAGATCCTCTAGACCTCCCCTAGATCCTCTAGATCTCCTCTAGTTCCTCTAGATCTCCTCTAGTTCCTCTAGATCTCCTCTAGATCCTCTAGATCTCCCCTAGATCCTCTAGATCTCCCCTAGATCCTCTAGATCTCCCCTAGATCCTCTAGATCTCCTCTAGATCCTCTAGATCTCCCCTAGATCCTCTAGATCTCCCCTAGATCCTCTAGATCTCCCCTAGATCCTCTAGATCTCCTCTAGTTCCTCTAGATCTCCTCTAGTTCCTCTAGATCTCCTCTAGATCCTCTAGATCTCCCCCTAGATCCTCTAGATCTCCTCTAGATCCTCTAGATCTCCCCTAGATCCTCTAGATCTCCTCTAGATCCTCTAGATCTCCCCTAGATCCTCTAGATCTCCTCTAGTTCCTCTAGATCTCCTCTAGTTCCTCTAGATCTCCTCTAGATCCTCTAGATCTCCCCTAGATCCTCTAGATCTCCTCTAGATCCTCTAGATCTCCCCTAGATCCTCTAGATCTCCTCTAGTTCCTCTAGATCTCCTCTAGATCTCCCCTAGATCCTCTAGATCTCCTCTAGATCCTCTAGATCTCCCCTAGATCCTCTAGATCTCCTCTAGTTCCTCTAGATCTCCTCTAGTTCCTCTAGATCTCCTCTAGATCCTCTAGATCTCCCCTAGATCCTCTAGATCTCCTCTAGATCCTCTAGATCTCCCTAGATCCTCTAGATCTCCCCTAGATCCTCTAGATCTCCCTAGATCCTCTAGATCTCCTCTAGTTCCTCTAGATCTCCTCTAGTTCCTCTAGATCTCCCTCTAGATCCTCTAGATCTCCCCTAGATCCTCTAGATCTCCCTCTAGATCCTCTAGATCTCCCCTAGATCCCTCTAGATCTCCTCTAGTTCCCTCTAGATCTCCCTCTAGTTCCTCTAGATCTCCTCTAGATCCTCTAGATCTCCCCTAGATCCTCTAGATCTCCTCTAGATCCTCTAGATCTCCCCTAGATCCTCTAGATCTCCTCTAGTTCCTCTAGATCTCCTCTAGTTCCTCTAGATCTCCTCTAGATCCTCTAGATCTCCCCTAGATCCTCTAGATCTCCTCTAGATCCTCTAGATCTCCCCTAGATCCTCTAGATCTCCTCTAGATCCTCTAGATCTCCTCTAGATCAATATCTTCTAGATCAACATCCTCTCGAAGATAGGCTAAGTTTCCGAGTTTCTCTAAAAGTTTAACCCAATTAAAGCCGAGTTTCAATTGGTAGACTCAATAAAATAAATATCTCCAATCGATTGCCCACCCTGAAAACCCGCGGGTACAAATTTACAGCTGAATACTTTCTTTTTGTACACCCAATTTTGAGCTCAAATATCTTCGCTTTGGGTTGTTCAATTTCACATTTTTGGTATCATTAGATGCGCCAAGTCTTTCTCTATCGCACCAATCGCTTACCAGAAGTCGGCGAATCGGGCTGATCATTGAGACTCAACGATGCTCGGCCAATCGTTGTCTTCTCCACTGCGATCTCGGGTGTGTTCTCTCTGGTGGCCTCGCTTTTCCCCTCACCCTCATTTCTCACTCTTTTGTGCTTGGTGCGACGATTTTGAAACCAGACTTTCACCTGGAATTGAATTTTGCATTAACTAAATTTGAGTATTCAATTAATCTGCAATTTTCCAATTTTCCAATTAATCTGCAAATTGATCTGTTGAATTTTAAAATTTAAGAGTTTATATCAATTTTCTAGGTTTAGCTTTGAGCTTTTGAGCTGGCTTAGCTTTTGGCTTTTGAGCTGGTCTAGCTTTGAGCTTTTGAGCTGGTCTAGCTTTGAGCTTTGAGCTGAGCCAAGTATGCTGTGGTTAGATCTGCTCTGGTCTGGTCTAACTAAAGACTAAAGGCTTGAAAACCCTTCTTTTAACACTCTAATCGTCTAAAAGTAAGCACTCAACTCTCCTAAAAATCACTTTTTGATTGTTTGTCAATATCTAGGTCAATATAAGGTCAATCATCTAATGCTAGGTGTGAACAAAAGAAGAAAAACTTGCGGTAGAAGAGCTCTGAATAAACAAATTGAACAAAGAAAACAAATTGGATAGGTTTGAATAAACAAATTGGATAAAGAAAACAGAAAGAATCAATCGAGACTCGAGTCGGCATCTCTTTGAAAAACAGGAAATGGATGGGGATCAAATGAGCACTTCTTAACAACTGTGGATGGGGATCAAATGAACGCTTCTTAACAACTGAACATCAACAATGGAGATAAACACAAGGGATTTGAGTAGAGCAATCAATGCGGTGCACTTTATGCTCAAATCAGCCGAAAAACCCTTGTTTTCCCTAGTTTCCTTATCGGTAGTGCTTGTCTACGGCCTACACAAGCCGGGTTCGATCCCCATAGTGCCGTTTTTTGATCAATAAAGCTAAAACCTCTTTAGAATACCATAGAAGATATCAAGTTATGCCTTTTGAAATAATTTTTAAAAAAACAAAAGTTGGAGGGGAGACCCGAGAATCGAACCCGGACCCTGTGGTTTGTAAACCAGCGCGCTAACGACTGCGCCACAGTGGCCGATGTGAGGGATAGACAAAAAGGCGAGAAAACTCGCCTAACAGCGAGTTTTTCTGGCTAGATGATTTTTCTCTAGACTGGGGCTAGATAGTTTTGTTTTCCTGGCCAGGCATTCTGTTGCCATGGCACAGTCGGGAGTGCGCTTGTTTACAGTTCACACGGTCCGGGTTCGACCCACCATAGTGCCATTCAACTTTAATTTTGCTTTTAAAAGGGAAATATTATTATTAATTGACAGGTATTTCATAAATGGTAAGGGACAAGAGATATTCAGCTATTTGAACAAGATTTTAACTGTTTTCTTGGGTTTTTTGGCTTTTTTGGCTCTTTTTTGGCTTTTTTTGGTTTTTAGAAGGGCTTAACTTCGCTTGACTTCGCCTTCGTGAAATTAAGCACCCGCCAAAGCTGCTGGGCAAAGCTGCTCGGCGGCGAGTGGTAAGTTGCTACGCTACAAGGCGCTACGCTACAAGGCGCTACGCTACAAGGCGCTACGCTACAAGGCGCTACGCTACAAGGCGCTACGCTACAAGGCGCTACGCTACAAGGCGCTACGCTACAAGGCGCTACGCTACAAGGCGCTACGCTACAAGGCGCTACGCTACAAGGCGCTACGCTACAAGGCGCTACGCTACAAGGCGCTACGCTACAAGGCGCTACGCTACAAGGCGCTACGCTACAAGGCGCTACGCTACAAGGCGCTACGCTACAAGGCGCTACAAGATCTCAATTTTTCTTTTTAATCATTTTGAGCAGATTTTTCTAAAGTTAGAGGAAAAAAGGAAAAAGATCAGCCGAAGGAGGACTCGAACCTTGGTCCTTTGCCGCCCTGGCAGCTGGCAGGCTAACGCTTTAGCCACTGAGACTGACCTGTGTTTCGGAGAGACTCAACCGAGAGGCCAACTGTTTCCTTTCCGTTCCCACCACATAATGATTCGATTCAAAGGCCTGAAATGAGGGAATTTTGATCAGAAATTGCAATGTTTGATTCTTTTTTCTATTTGTTAACAATTTCTTTATCGATTTCTCTATCTATCTACCTATTTCTAACAAATTTGATTGTCGTTTATAAAGTAAGAAATGAAAAAGAAAGATTTCCGAAGAGAAGATTGAACATTTGAGCCTTTTCCTTGGCTTTTCCATGCCTTTTCCATGCCTTTTCAGGCATGAAAAAGCTATTTGGGATCTTCTTTTGAGAAATTTGAGCTATTTGGTATCTTCTTTTGAGAAAAAAGAGAAAGAGAAGGAAAACAGCGATAAAAAAAGGTGCTTGTGATTTTTGTGACCACTTTAAATTAGCTAGATTATTTACATTTAAGTATAGCCTCCAAAAAAGTCACGTTGTCACATTGTGCCTTTTTTTTGCGATCATTAACGATCTTTTTTGGTGATCTTTTAATTTTAAATGGAAATCAAGTTAATTCAAATTTAAATGCAAAGTTTTTACAAATTTGACACAAACTTTGCAAACCTTTTCCAATTGAACGAGTTGCGCGGGACTGAAAGCCGTTCGGATACGTTTTGATTTGCGAAATGGTTGGAGAAAGAGGCCGGCTGCTGCCTCGCCTAGAAAAATCGAATTTTTTTAGTGTTAACTAAGACTGGTAAGAGACTAAGAGAATTGCTCAATAGATATTTTGTTCTACGACTTCTTCTTCTTCCTAATACCTTCCTTCTAATGTCTTCTTCCTAATATCTTCTTCCTAATATCTTCTTCCTAAGATCTTCTTCCTAATATCTTCTTTCTAATATCTTCTTTCTAATGTCTTCCTAAGGTCTTCTTCCTAACGTTCCTAATACCTTCTTCCTAAGTTCTTCCTAATATCTTCTTTCTAACGTTCCTAATATCTTCTTTCTAATGTCTTCCTAAGCTCTTCTTCCTAATGTCTTCCTACTATCTTCTTCCTAACGTCCCTAACGTTCCTAACGTCCCTAACGTTCCTAACGTCCCTAACGTTCCTAACGTCCCTAACGTCCCTAACAATTCCCTTTTTTTCTTCTTCCCATTCCCCAATGCATTAGGGATACTGTATTTGTTTGTGTTCAAGTCGAGAGGATCGGAGGACTGCTTCTCGTAAATGCACGGGGAATTACCGATCGAGAAGAGAGCTGTGTATCCACCGAGGGGAAGTGGCTCTCTCACTTTCAACGGCTATTCAGACCAATACAATGACCGATTGAGAGAGTGCTAGGGAAAGGGGAAAAGAGGGAAAGAGACGCTGTGGCCGTTTTGCTTCTCTAGGGTTCTGTAGGTAGCTCTGTGATGGTATTAATACCTTTTGAAAGCTATCAAAAAGTTCCCACAAACTTTCCAAAAAAGCAAAAAACTTTCTCAGCTTTCTCAGCCAATCCAGGTCGAAATTCGACTTATTATATAGTATTTTAAAGCTGTTAAAGCTGAAATTTGAAGCTGAAGCTGACTAGAATTCTTGGAAGCATTTCAGAAAGTCTAAACCAGCATTTCTACACCTAAACAATCCTGGTCAGAGCCAGCTAGCTCTCCAAAATTGTAGGTAGAAGCACTGTAGGTAGAAGTTGATTAGAAAAACTAAAACTTGATTAGAAATCCCTATTTAAAACTCTATCAACACTGAATGCGAATCAAAAACGCCACTTTAACCCTTTCCCGTTAGTGTAGCTTGCTTTAGGAAGTGGAAAAAAGAGTATCTCTATCGGAGGAGTCTGTAGAGGTCTGCTCGTCCAGTTGGGCCCATCTGTAAACATTCTCCTCCACTTCCACCCATCCTCATCCACTTGTTCTACAACTTGTCAACCGGGGAAATGGATTAACAGCTCTTTTCCTCCTCTTTTCCTCCTCCTTTTCTCTCTTCTATTCACCCACTTGACACTAAATTACGGTGTGTGTGAGAAGTGTGGATGGGATAACGGGAGGCTGATTGGTAAACAGTAATCCCGGAAATATTTGTGGTCTAATATTGACGGTTAGATTGCATAATTTCAAGGTTAAAGTGTTGAACTGAACTGAAAACTGAACTAGAAGATTGAACTAGAACTGTCAAATAGAAGATTACGGTAAAAAGAAAGATTTTTTAAAGACAAAGCTTTTGGAAGTTTACTCTTTTTGAGCCAAAGCCGGATTGAATCAGAGCCGGATTGGACTAGATCCGGATTGAATCAGAGCCGGATTGGACTAGATCCGGATTGAATGAGAGCCGGATTGGACTAGATCCGGATTGAATCAGAGCCGGATTGGACTAGATCCGGATTGAATCAGAGCCGGATTGGACTAGATCCGGATTGAATCAGAGCCGGATTGGACTAGATCCGGATTGAATCAGAGCCGGATTGGACTAGATCCGGATTGAATCAGAGCCGGATTGGACTAGATCCGGATTGAATCAGAGCCGGATTGGACTAGATCCGGATTGAATCAGAGCCGGATTGGACCAGATCCGAATTGGACCAGAACCGGATTGGACTAGATCCGGATTGAATCAGAACCGGATTGGACCCGATCCGAATTGAACCAGATCCGAATTGAATCAGATCCGGATTGAACCAAATCCGAATTGAATCAGATCCGGATTGAACCAAATCCGAATTGAATCACGAATTGAACCAGAGCCGAATCAAATCAGCTCAGAATTGAAGCACGAATTGGACCAGAGCCGAATTGAATCACGAATCAAATCAAATCCGGATTGAACTAGATCCGAATTGAACCAGATCCGAATCAAATCAGATCCGAAGTGCTCTTTTTAAAAACTGTAACTTTACCTTACAAATAGCCTACAATAAGTATCAAATTACTGCAAATTACTGAAAATCAAAACTATGAGATTCTCAAATGTCTAGTTGTTAAAATAACCAACCAAAATGAGCAGCTGCTGAGCTCTGCTGAAGAAGTTCAAGCCATTGTTGAGACCAGAGCCGAGCCTGACTATTTTCCACCATTCCGCCGAGAAATGGATTTGAAGAAGCCATCTGAAAGAGATTAATTGTATTGTCCTCTTCTTTTGTTTCGTATTTCTTCTTAAATAAAGAAGGAGCAATAGCTCAGTGGTAGAGCGTTTTCCCGGTAAGCGGAGGGTCGAGGGTTTAATTCCCGGTTCCAAATTCTTTGCTATTTATTTTTTTGCTTAATAGCTATGCTTTTTAGCTAGCTTTCTAGCTAGCTTTCTAGCTAGCTTTCTAGCTAGCTTTCTAGCTAGCTTAATAGCTAGCTTAATAGCTAGGCTTTTTCTAATACTTCTGCAATTATTGTTAAATTTTTCCGGGTCAAGGCAGGCGGGCCAGGCCTAGAGCTGACACACTTACAGATTAAAGGGAATTAGCCCGAATGGCTATAAACTAGGAGTAAGGCATAAGGCGCTACTTTGACGGCAAGTGTTTTGTCGGTGTAGCTCATTGGTAGAGCATTCGCCTGGTAAGCGAGAGGTCGCGGGTTCGACTCCCGGCGCCGCCGACGATCGCCATAAAAGGATCGGAGTGTCCAACTCGGGTCTTAATCTTGGCCTCTCTCGCAAGAGTCTTAGGCTCAGGCTTAGGCTTAGGCTTACCGTGACCCGGTTCATTAACGTATAAGGAAATTGACAGTATTACTGTAGCCTGGATGACTATTTTCGATTACAAGCTCTAGAGATCTAGAGAGCTACAGTAATCCCAAGCATAAGCAAGCTACAGTAATCCCAAGCATAAGCAAGCTACAGCCATCCAAAGCTGCAGTAATTCCAAACTAAAGTAATTAGAGTTTTCTACTTCTCTGTGGTGTACTTTGTGCTCGAAAGTGTAAAAGTATCCTTTCTGTTGCACTGGATTCTTTATTCTTTTAGAGTTATTATCAAAAAAAGTGCAGAATTCATTGCATCAGATAGGATTTTTCAGCCTTTTTAGGCACAAATTATACTGAAGATGAAGGAAAATCAAGGAAAAGTTTTACAGTTTTACATTTTTACAAATCTTTGTCAACGCAATGTCAACAATCTTAATAGATTCTTACAAAAAAAACTCTAATCTTCTGCCATTTCTTTTTCAAATGAGTTTCGAGAATCGCTTTAAATGGACAAGAAAATGGAAAAGAAGAGGAAAAGAAGGAAAATTGTCTTTTCTTTTCTTTTCTTTTCTTTTCTTCAATCTTTTTCATTCTTTTCTTCAATTTTCGATTTGCCGCGATCCTCTTTGAAATGTTTTGATAGATGGCGAGAAATAGTGTCACAATGCAATCATTTTTTCTTTTCTTTTTGAATTGAAAGGGGATTGGCCGAGAAAAGAAGGGAATCTCGTTTTCAAGGTCTTCCTTGAAACCTATGCAAATAGATTTTACCGTAAACTGATTAGCTTGTCTCGTTGATTAACTTATCTGGTTGATTAACTTGTCTGATTGAAACTTGACTGGTTGAAACTTGTCTGGTTGAAACTTGTCTGGTTGATTAACTTGGAACTGCTTTATTACCGTATCCTGGTTCATTAGCTAACCTTTCATTTCATTAGCTTCATTAAGTTCATTAGCTTCATTAACTTCATTAGCTTCATTAAGTTCATTAGCTTCATTAAGTTCATTAGCTTCATTAAGTTCATTAGCTTCAGTAGCTTCATCAACTTCATTAACTTCATTAACTTCATAGCTCACAGTACACGTAAGCAAATCGACGATATTACTGTAACCCAGTTCATTAACTTATCTACTTAAGCAATACCTAAATTACCGTACCCTTTTAACTCACAGTACTCACAATACTCACAGTACAGTACTCACAGTACTCACAGTACCAGTTTATTATGTAGACTTTAAAAAAGCAAAACTTTCTATGAAATAAGCTTTCAATGAAACACGCCTTTCAATGCCTTTAAAAACTTTAACTTTAGCTTTGAAATGGAACAATTTAAAAGCAAAATTGATTGAACATTTGAACGATAATGATTTAACGATCAAAGTTTGTCAAAGAACTAGTCAAAAGCTCATCAACAAAGATTTTCTCGAATTTCCCTGTTGCTGAACTTTGCAACTTGCTATACCAACTGCTAGCTTGCTTTGTTATCAAAAATGGCATTCTGTCAGTGAAAGGGAAGGGAAAGCTTTGAAATTTAAGATTACAACCTGTACATGTGGTAGAAAAACATCAAAATATGATAGCGTGTGCATTGAGGGACCGCTGAGAGTTGATGGAGGAACTTCGGGAGATGAGGAAGCCTCCGATTCTCGACCACTCACTGGGCTGCTCTCGCGTTTCCGTTTCTAAACTAGATATTTTCTCTAATAGTAGTGCACCCGGGCGAGCCGAGTTGACGGCTATTTACGGCGTCCAAAGTTTTCTCAGAAGCTCAAGACTCAAATCCCCCACTAGATCTGATCCTCAGCTACATTTTCCGACCCCACATCGATAGGTTCTGATAAGCGGTTCTTGACACTTCGAGGAATTTAAGCGACGCTGCCGCGTGACCGAGTGCTAGTGCGTCCTGGCGTCCGTCCAGCTCGGCGGGACTAACGTCGCGTCGAGTATAGATGTCGGAGGGTATCAGGGATGGTGCCGATATTGCTTTGGAGGATTAAGATTATTACAGTATTGTTACAGGGACCTTGGAGAAGGCGCAGGAGGCGAGGAGACCCTTTAACTCGAGAGCTCAAACTATGGCCTTAGCACCCCGGTGAGCCGAGTTGGTGACTATTTACGGCTTCCAAAGTTTTCCCAGAAGTTCAAGAGTCTAATCCCCCACTAGATCTAATCGTCAGCTACATTTTCCGATCCCACATCGATAGGTTCTGATAAGCGGTTCTCGAGATTTCGAGGAATTTAGACGACGTGAGCCCTGGCGACGCTCAGGGTGCACTACTATTAGAGAAAATGCGGTAAGTGAATAGATAGATGTAAGCTATTGGAACTGGTTTAATAGTTGACAGCTACAGAGTGTCGCAAAAGTTCTTGGACTAGTTTTTAGTGCGTTAGAAGAGTTGTTTTGCCAGTGACTTTGTCGTTTATTTGGTCTTTTTCTTGTTTTTTTATCCTTTACTCTTGGATTCTTGGATGGATTCAATTCTTGGAATAACTGCTGTTTTTCAGATGAAATTGAATCGATGGATAAAAATCATAAACGCCAAGTGATTCTCGGAGTTCACAAGAAAGCGGAAAGAGCTATTGGGGTAAAGAAATTTGGCCCCGATTTGAATTGTTTGGCCTTTTTTTGCCCCCCTTCATTTCTCCATTTGGTCCATTATAAAAGAGGATTTCTCAGAAAGATTCATTCGATTGAGGGTTTGAAAGAGCTTTCAAGGCTTAAAAGCAGCTTTGAAACGAGCCTCGAAGGTTATAATCGTTCAACAATGTGCAACGGAGATTATTCACCGTTCAACAATGTGCATATCATTAAGAGCTTTCAAAAAAAGCGTCTGAAATGCATTGAAGCTGCATTGAAGCTGCATTGAAGCTAATGGTGGAAATTTCGAGCATTTTTTGTCATTTATTTGTTGCGAAGGTTCGAATAAACTATTTTGTAAAGAAAAAAAAACTCTAAATACTTGAAGTTGGCACTTTTCCGTATTTGCAAACAACGATTACTTATTACTTACTTATTTGCAAGTCCGGGGAACTTTTTTGACACTCTGTATTGGCAGTAATAGTTTAGCTTGAATAGTTCAATAGTTCAATAGTTCAATAGTTGTATAAGTTCGCAGTACACGTAAGCAAATCGACGATATTACTTTAACCCGGTTCATTAAATTATCTACTTAAGCAATACCTAAATTACCGCACCCTTTTAACTCACAGTACTCACAGTACTCACAGTACTCACAGTACTCACAGTACTCACAGTACTCACAGTACTGTGAAGTATAGTTGAATTCAGTTTGAGCTTCTAGGTTTATTCTGATTCGAAAAAGTCAAACCTTTGGTGTTTCCTCATTCGTTTCCTTTGCTTCGACTAGTCGATCTATTGAAAAGTTCAACGACATCTGAAAATCGATTTCTGAAAAGCTAGATAAGAAAAGGAAAGATAAGAAAAGATAAGAAAAGATAAGAAAAGATTTGGGCAATGAAGCATTGAAGCTTTGGGAAGATTTGGGAAGATTTGGGCAGGATTTGGGCAGGATTTCAGATGGAAATTCTGTAGAATGAAATTCTGTAGAATGAAATTCTGTAAAATTAAATTCTGTAAAATGCTTGTAGAGAAGTTGTAGATAAATTTTATGCAAGTTATGAGAAAGATCAAAGCTCGAGAAAGATAGAAGCTCGAGAAAGATAAAAGCTCGAGATAGCGTTGATCAATTGACCTTGACGTTTACCTGTGTGGCAATAAGGAGCACTTGTTTGCAGTGGTGGGTGGAGCTACGGTGTGCGACGAGATGGGCGGTCGCAGTCTCTGATTGGCTCAGCGTCAACCCGATTTCTTCTCTTTTCTTCACTCGAGAGAGTCGATTTCGTGAAAGATGATACCATTGAAAGGATACAAGAGAAATGTACTTATTAAAAAGCTAAATTAAAGCTCTAAATTAAAGCTTAATTTAGATCTTAAATTAAATCTTACTTTAATTTAATTTAAATTTAGAATCTCCTTTAGTCATTCTTATGGACTAGACTTGTTTTTTGATTTTTTCGATTTTTTCGATTTTTTCTTGATTTTTTTACACTAAAGAATTCATAATTTTGTCATTTTTAACTAAAATTGCTAAAAGAACTTTTAGAAAACAATTTGAGAATAAAAGAATTCAAAACTGGGATTGTTTTGAGCATTTTAAAGTATTAGATTGGAGAGAAAGTACTCGGAAAAAGTTTAAACTGTACTTTGTACTAGTTCAAATTACTTTGAACTACTTTGTACTAGTTTAAAATACTTTGTACTACTTTGTACTAGTTTAAAATACTTTGTACTACTTCAAACTACTTTGTACTAGTCCAAACAACTTTGTACTAATCCAAACTACTTTGAACTACTTTGTACTAGTCCAAACTACTTTGTACTAGTTTAAACCACTTTGTACTAGTCCAAACTACTCTGTACTGGTTCAAATTACTTTGTACTAGTCCAAACTACTTTGTACCAGTCCAAACTACTCTGTACTAGTTTAAACTACTTTGTACTAGTTCAAAAACTAGAAAAGAAATCTATTCAAGATATGTTTCATTATTAAGTATAACTTGTTGCTATTCATTTGGTAGAGCACCGATTCTCCCAGAAATTCTTTGGCTCCCAGAAAGCACTCCCAGAAATTCTTTGGCTGGCTGCGTTGCCAGGTTTCGACTTTAGCTCGATCTTCGAAGTGCTCTCCATCGAGTTCTGCAGTCAGCTTCTGGAATAGATGAAAATCAGAAGGGGCAAGGTCTGAGCTGGAATATGGGGAGAACTTCCCAGCCCAACTCCTTTAATTTTTCTTTTGTCAGCTTTGCAACAAGCAAGGAGGACTTTTCCCTTGTTTGGTCTTGTTTTTTTTTGATTTCTTTGACGAGTTCTAATTGATTTAGTTCTTCTAGTTGATTTGTATAAATTACTGATATAAATTGCTGTAACTGTTGTCTTTTCAGGCAACAACTCAGCAATAGATCTATCGAGATCCCACCAAATACTCAACATCATCTCCTTCTGTTGGAGTTCGGATTCCGGAAGCTGAGGTGAATGGAGAACTTTGGGTTTGTGTCAATGAGGCTTGTCAATGTCAATCAATGAGACTTGATGTAAAAAAGGTCAATTATCAGCGGCTGTGTCTGTTCGAGGAATTAAAGCTGGAATTTAATAAGTCAAAAGTGGAAAAAAGAATTCTAAGGACTTTCTTTTCAACTTGATGCCTATCGCTAGTTACTTTCAAAAATCTCGTGTAATTCTTTTGCAAAACCACGGAGAAATTCAACCTTTGAAATTACCCTTGAGTAACTAAACCGGGATGCCCACTAAAGTAAAGCTAAAGTAAAGCTAAAGTAAAGCTAAAGTAAAGCTAAAGTAAAGCTAAAGTAAAGCTAAAGTAAAGCTAAAGTAAAGCTAAAGTAAAGATAAAGTAAAGCTAAAGTACAGCTAAAGTAAAGCTAAAGATAAAGTAAAGCTAAAGTAAAGCTAAAGTAAAGATAAAGTAAAGCTAAAGTACAGCTAAAGTAAAGCTAAAGATAAAGTAAAGCTAAACTAAAGTAAAGCTAAAGTAAAGCCAAAGTAAAGCTAAAGCTAAAGTAAAGTTAAAGCTAAAGTAACTCTGCTAAAGTAGCCGCCAAAAAAATAGCAAACAAAGAACCGATTTTCGAGCAGAAAGCTTGAGCTTGCCTAGGCTTAGGCTTAGGCTCAGGCTCAGGCTCAGGCTTAGGCTTAGGCTCAGGCTCAGGCTTAGGCTCAGGCTCAGGCTTAGGCTCAGGCTCAGGCTCAGGCTTAGGCTCAGGCTCAGGCTTAGGCTTAGGCTCAGGCTCAGGCTCAGGCTCAGGCTTAGGCTTAGGCTCAGGCTTAGGCTTAGGCTTAGGCTTAGGCTTAGGCTCAGGCTTAGGCTTGGTCTTAGGCTTGGTCTTGGTCAACTTGCTCGACAAAACTTGAAAAAAGCATTAAAGCAATCAAAGCAAAAAAAGCATTCTATCGAATGATACAAATTTTATAATAAAATAATGTACTTTTGACATAAAAAAGGCCCTAAAACAAAAAGTACTTCTTCGGTTCGGTTTTTTTGCTAATTTTCGCCTTCGATGCTTACGATGCTTAGGTACTTTAAAATGCTCAAAACAATCCCAGTTTTCAATCCTTTGATTCTCAAATTGTTTTCTTAAAATTTAGCGATTTTCGTTGAAAAATGACAAAGCTATGGAGGTTTTAATGTAAAAAATCAAGAACAAAAGCAGAACAAAACCGAAAAACAAATCAGATGCACTGTGGATCTACGTTTAGACTTCAATGAGTTCAATGAAGCGTTTCGGATAAGAGATATTGATAAGTGAAATAATTTTGAGTCTATAGTCTAGAGCCTAGAGCCTAGAGCTTTTTTGGGTTTCTTGGGTAATTGAAACGGGCGGCGAACGGCGACAAGAGGTGCTCGAGAGGACAGTAGCTTGTGGCCAAAAGAGATCAGTAACAAAGCTAGACTGGAGACTGGACAAAGCTAGACTGGAGACTGGACAAAGCTAGACTGGAGACTGGACAAAGCTAGACTGGAGACTGGACAAAGCTAGACTGGAGACTGGACAA